CCTAGATAATAATAATCTCTTAATCACTTATAGATAAACTACTTTTAACTTCTTGATATTGGAATACATGAAGATTCAAATTCTGTAATATTTTAATTTTAGATTTGGTTTTATTACTAAAAGTTTTGCAATATAAAGTCTAGATAAAGCAAGACAAATTTTCTCTATTTCTAGCTAAAGAGTTAAGAGTTTCTTTTAAAGCTTTTGTTTTACTAGTACCTACAGATAAATAGATAAGAGATTATTATTATCTAGGTTAAAAGTATATATTGTATTGAGCTTTATGGATAGTAACTATATGTAGTTATTTTGGATAAAGTCAATACAATTATGTACCAAATATCTAGTGGAATCTATATATGAGAATCTAAAAATACTATATGAGATTTGTTAAAGTCAGCTATTTATATTGTAGCTATAGATATTTTTGTGAATAGCTCTACTTTAGTTTTCTTAAAACAGTATTGAAATAATGATATATAAATTTTTAATAATAAATATTAACTATGCATAGATGAAACTATTAAGATTTTTTATAATCTAGAAAAAGGTTCAGAAGCTATAAAAAGAGGTCCTAATATACTTCAAAAAAGTAAACATATTGCTTTTGCAATAACATCATATAAAAAAGCCTAAACTTTGACAAACCAAGTTTCTATATTGCAAAAATCAAATAGTTCATCTATTTTAACATATATTTTTTTAGCTAAATAAACAGAATGTAATGACAAGAGGAGTTTGCTAATAGTAATAGTACTTAGAATTCTCTTGACTATATAATTTATACAAGTACTATAGAAGCTAGTATTTTCTTTAAAATCTCTAATTATTTTGATACTATTATAGGGATTAGCAATATTAAAACAAGAGTACATGTCAAAGCTTTTGCATAGATACTTTACTAAATTTGAGATTGTTCACAATATATTATTTTTTTATATCATAGTAAAAAGTTCTCTAAAGTATTCCAAGAACTAAATCATAATTTTATATATGCTGAACTTTTTGCTTTAAGGTCTATTAATTTACCAACAGCAGTAAAAAGATATCAGAAATAGAATAAAATTGCTGATTATTATACTTTTAATATATCTCTAGTAGTTGAAATGTATATTGAGGCTGAATATTAGAGATACTTATTAGCTAAATACTTTCCTGAAATTCTTTGTAGTCTTGTTTCTAGTACAGAAGCTTCACTTGAGATTATTTCTGCAAAAAGTACTATAGCTAATAGGAAAATAGTTTCTAATACTATTAAAGCAGTTAAAGAAAATATTAAAGGTTCTGATACAGAATTAATAGCCAATATACCTGATATCATCTCAGATAATACTGAAGTTTTTAAACAAATTTCTACATACTCTTTTATTGATAATATGATATTACAATGATATTATTTGTAGAGAATATATGCTTCAGGAGATATTGAAGATAAGAATAATAATCAGAACTAAGACATGAATGATGCCAAATAGATTAATCTATATACTACTAGTTTTGTAAAAAAATTTAATAATTCTGAATCTTTACAATATTTTAGAAAACTAATTTTTTTTTTAACCTTTTCAACAAGTCATGCCAATACTTTATTTGCAATAAATTTTGTGCTCAACAAAAATATTAGAATACATATTTACTCAAAATAT